CCTGAGCCAATAAAAACTCGAGTTATAGATGACTCACCACGGATGGCCAATCAGTCGATGCGCGCTCTCCGCGGGCATCTCGCGCGATGAGAGGGCTTCGGACTTCACAATAAAAACCTTTCTTGGAAATGACTTCGCCCCGGCCTTCAGCTAACACCGGAAGCGGGCGTGTCTGGTGGGTCCCTCCGCGCTCGCAGTGACTCTTTGATCTTAGGAGCCTTGTAAAGCAGTGAGTCTTTTGTTTCGCGAGGCCTTTAAAATAGCACATTTTCTCTTTAGAGTTACGCCCTGGCCAAAAAAAGTCGTTGGTTGGAAGAGGTAGGGCGTCTACAGATGAAAATAAGTGGGCGGGAGGCGAAGGTCACGTGACAGCGGAAGGATTTTTGTCTTTGTGATGCGGTTCATAAGGGAAAAAGTTATAAAAGACCCGCGAGCCGGCTGTTGCGGCCATTTCCTCTCCCGCCTGCAGATGTAGACCTTCGAGCGTGTCCCTTCCTCCTCCGCTCCCACAGCTCCCGGCCGACATGGCGCACTAGAGGCAGCAGTGCCAGCGGCAGCATTGGCCTTTGCAGCGGCAGCAGCAGCACCAGGCTCTGCAGCGGCACCTCCCAGCGGCTTAAGCCATGGCGTGAGTAGGGGGACGGGCTCCTGGGTCCGGGCGCCCCCGGGTCGCCGAGGACCTGCGATCTGTCTTCCGCGTTTGGACGGGAGGAAGCAGCGCCTACCTCCTGCGGCCGCTGGGGGAGCGGCCCAGCGCCAAGGGCGTCCACGGGGCCGCCTGACCCGGACGAAGCAGGGAGAGGCGCACAATGGCTCTGGCGCCACGTGTTTCCACTTCCCTACGGCCAAGTCGGGGTTGGCCTTCCTGCCGCGGGGTGAAAAGACGAGACTCTCCGGCCCGCCGATCGCTAATCGGACTTTGTTTCTCGTTCCTATGCAGGCTTTTCACGGCATTCAGCAGCAGCATTGCTGTAACCGACGAAGACACATTCGAATTAAACACATTCCTCGATTCCAGCAAAGCCCCACAACATGACCGAGATGAGCTTCTTGAGCAGCGAGGTGTTGGTGGGGGGCTTGATGTCCCCCTTCAACCAGTCGGGTTTGGGGGCTGAAGAAAGCTTAGATCTCCTAGACGACTACCTGGAGGTGGCCAAGAACTTGAAACCCCATGGGTTCTCCAGCGACAAGGCTAAGGCGGGCTCCTCCGAATGGCTGGCTGTGGATGGGTTGGTCAGTGCCTCAGACAACGGCAAGGGTGAGTGCCCATCGTTGACTTGCCACCGAGTTCTGGTCGTAGTTGGTTGCTTTGTGCATCTGGCTGAATTGATTTCTTTTAAAATCTTTTGCAGAGGATGCCTTCTCGGGGACAGATTGGATGGTGGAGAAAATGGATCTCAAGGAGTTTGACTTCGATGCCCTGCTAAGTTTAGGTGACCTGGACACCATGCCTGATGAGCTTTTGGCCACGTTGGATGACCCCTGTGACCTCTTTGACCCCCTAGACCAGGAGATTAATAAGGAGCCCCCCCATGCCGTGAACCCAATTGGCCATCTTCCAGAAAGTTTACTAAAAACTGACCAGGTTGCCCCCTTCACCTTCCTGCAACCTCTCCCCCTTTCCCCGGAGGCCCTGTCCTGCACTCCGGAGCATTCCTTTAGTTTAGAGCTGGGAAGTGAAGTTGACATCTCTGAAGGAGAGAGAAAAGCAGACTCCACTACTTATGGTTCCATAATCCCTCAGTGTGTAAAGGAGGAGGATGTCACCTCAGACAATGATAGTGGCATCTGTATGAGCCCGGAGTCCTACCTGGGCTCTCCCCAGAACAGTCCCTCCACCTCCAGGGCCTCCCCAAACAGGAATCTGCTGTCTTCAGCTCCCCCCTGTGGGTCTGCTGGCCCCAAGCCCTATGACCCTCCTGTAGAGAAGGTGGTAGCTGCAAAAGTAAAGGGTGAGAAACTAGATAAAAGGCTGAAAAAAATGGAGCAGAACAAGACAGCAGCTACTAGGTACCGCCAGAAGAAGAGAGCAGAGCAGGAGGCCCTCACTGGTGAGTGTAAAGAGCTAGAAAAGAAAAACGAGGCTCTGAAAGAGAAGGCCGATTCCTTGGCCAAGGAGATCCAGTACCTGAAAGATCTGATAGAGGAAGTCCGCAAGGCCAGGGGAAGGAAAAGGGCCCCCTAGTTCGGGTAGTCGGTGTGCTTGTACATAGGAGGCTTGTGCTGGAGATGTGTATCATAATAAATTATTTTGTAGTGAAAGTACTGTGCAGCTGCTGTCTGTTTTCTTGCCTCAAATAACCCAGCCAACTGTCTTAGGACCAGATTCTTAACCAGAAGGAGGTTTCAACATATTTTAAGGTTGAGCCCAGAGTGAGATGTGCTATCTGTCAGGACCACTGGTGACTCCATCGGACTCCGGGCCAGAGCCCCAACAGCAGGTGGTTTTCTCAGAGCTGGGGATCCCTTGGTGGGCTATCCCTTGGTTAGGGGCAAGGCTCTAGGGAGTTTTAACTGGAGGGAACTGGTAGCGGGAACAGCCCAGGCTCCACCTGTTCTCCCAGTTGGGTCTTTTGCCAACATCTGTCATTCAGCAGCCAGATAAGGTTCCACAGTCAGTCCTTGAGCTGGTTGTGCTGATGAAGTTTCTACTTCTAAGCTCTTTGGTTCTGATGCCCTTGTAATAAACTATTAATAGGAAAGCAAAGGGAAAGACCTACACCTGTCATTTGGGCAGCTTCACCAGGAAGCTAGGTGACCCCCCGGCCCCCAGGAATCCATAGGTATATGGTTTATTCTCTCTAGGTCACTGGGGGTGGGGGGAACAGATCCATGCCCAGTAAAAGTTAGGGTAACATAAGGAAGGTACTTAATCACCTGGGAAAAGGTCATTGGCCAGAACTGGCCACTGCAAGCATGGGGAGATGGAGGATATTTAATCTGGGCTAAAGGAGTTCTTGCTGTTCTTGGGGCTGTTCAGGAAGCGCTGTCCTGAATTCACACCCACATTCAAAGGGACTAGTGGACTGCAACTAGCCTAAGCTTAATGGATGAATCTAAGGATATCCGGTGTGTAGCTCTCCCCCCACCAGGGTCATTAAGACTCCGCTGGAGGGAGCGGGTGGAGCATGAGGCAGGATACCAGCTGCTCTGAGGAAGGTGGGCCACTTCCTGTTTGGAGTCTGCACTCTCCTGCAGCCTTGACCTGGATGGCCTGCTTCCTACCGCTCAGGGGAGGCATCTGCAGACAGGACTGGGTCCAGCTCCACGCCAGCCGTTCTGTGGCCCACGCTCAGGGTGGAAAGCTGGTTAACAACCTGGAACAGCTCCAAGGCAGTGGGTAGGGGTGAGGAATGCCCTCCTGGTACATTAGAACCCATGCAGGGAGGTTGATTGGCACTCCAGCCATGGGTCCCTTCAGAAGCCTCAGACAATGCCATGACCTCTGAAGCCCTTTGGGGGGGGGGTAGGAGAGCTGCCTGAAGGTGCCCAGGGCCCTCTCCAGAAGGCCCCCAACCCCAAGGGGCCCCTGGTTTCCAGGACTTGTCCTCTCCACACTGAAGACAATGCTGGTCAGCACAACCTGTGCCCAACACTGCCGGCTGCAAGGGGTCCAGCCCCTCCCTACCTTTGTGCTCAGGCACAGACCTGAGTGTGAAACCCTGTTGCTTGAAGTCGCCTCCTGAATCACCCCACCAGTCCCCCAACACTTGTGACACACACACAAGCACAGGACTTGGGCGACAGGCTGGCAGCACTCTCTTTCCCCAGACCCTGGAGTCTCATCCTTGGATCAAAGCTTCTGGCAGCTGTGGGCGCCACCCAGGGGAGGAGGGCCCCTCTGGGCCAGCAGATGCTGGGTGAACTCTGGGTGGCAACCTGCATGGGGCTGGGCTGAGGACTTCTGCTCTGCAGCTCTAAGAACCACACTGGGAGGTGGGGAAGGGAGGGAAGGCTCTTTGGTGCCACAGGAGATGCGACACCTCGAGTCAGACCAGCAGCACACACCCAGCTGGAGCCCATATTTATTAGAACCTGGAAGCATACCCAGCAGCCCTCCTCTTCCTCCTCAAGGTGTGGCCCCTGGGGGCCAGTAACTGGCCTCTGCAGCCAAGAGGTCCTACTTGGGCCAAAGCAAACAACAGTCAGAAATGTTCCTCTCTGGCAGGGAGGTAGCTCTTCCCAAGCCTGCGGGTTTCCCCTCCATCCGAGTTTAAATGCTCCCGCAGGCGCCCAGCTCACCAGCTCCACTCAGCCTGCCCACGGCTTCAGCTCCGGGGCTTCCTTGGGTCAGCCTGGCCCCCCCTGTGCATGGCAGGGGGCCAGGTCCAGCAGGGGCTGTGAGGTCAGAGGAGCGCATGTGGCCCACGGGCCGTAGTTTGAGGACCCCTGCTACATTCTCAACTCAAGGCAGTATCAGAGGAAAAGAACCTTCCATCTCTGATATCCATATTTATGCACAGTGCCTTCAGCCTTCTTCTTCTTCTTCTTCTTGGCCACAGGCCGGTCACAGGCCTTGCGGCCCCGATTCTGGCGCAGAATCTGGGGATGTGCAGGAGTCAGGACATGAGGGAGCTGTACGACCCCGTACACTCTCAGCCCTTCAGGGGGAGACCCCCCCCCCAGCAGAGCAATACAGGAACGTGGGGGGTGGCCCAAACTCCCCCCTATGCTAGGGCTGAGAACCCCAGGAACATCCTCAGCTCTCCCCCCAGCTTCCTTCTCATAGCCACCCGACACACCTGCTGGGTGACGGACTCAGGCACGGTGCTTCTCGCACCGGTCATGAACTGCAGGTTCTCTCCAAGGTAGCCTCGACGCTCTCGCTTCTGGAACTCAGCTGTGGACAGATGATAAGCAGGGCGGCATAATTTCAGATACACTCCCTGGAAGCCTTCTAGGTCCCCTCTTGATAGCTCCCCATTACCGCCCCCCCCGCCCCCCCCAGCCTTGCCAAAGGCCTTGCTGTCCCTTCCCTCAATTACTGTAATAGCCTGGGCTCTTTTCTGTCAAATCCAC